TGTGGTACAGCTGAGAGTTGTCGGTTTTTAATCCTTAATTTCAAAAAAACTGTTTAGAGAAAGATCATTGGTTCAGACCCGTTTGAACAGTAAAATGGCAGCAATATAGTAACGAAGAAACTATATTATATATCCAACAAACACAGGTTACGTAACACTGGACGACCATTAGGTTTTATTCCATAGCGCCACTGGCAAATATAACTCCACCTCCTAAAAAAGAAAAACATGAAATATGCAATCCAAAAAAGCGACAGTTTTAAGAGCTAAAATACTAAGGCAACGTTCCGGCCCTTAAACCGTCTAAGGGCTCATACAGCTTCTCTACCTCAGGTTTCATAAGGCAGTATTCAGCAGCAAGTCTCAGAGCCGGAACAATCGCGAATGACGGTTTCGCCTGTGGCAACACCAGTGTGGATGCAAAATAATTACTAGCAAAAGCAAAGAAGCTTTTTGCAACATTGAACTGAGTCAACAAACAAGAAAGTCCAGCAGAAAACATAGTCAAATCCAAAGAATCTGAGCGTTTAAAACCTATAAAATTAAAAATTTAGGAAGTGAAAGTAGAAAAAGATTAAGGCTAAAGATAAATGAATAAATAAGAAAAGATGTGAAATATTGTGCCTAAAAATAGAGTGCTGGTTCTTGAGTATTTAAGTCTTACCATCATCAAAAACTTGAAGCCTCAAGAGTAAGATTAACCCATATTAAGCTGCAAAAATCAAAGTGCAAGGGCTCTTGAGAAGCCATTTTGCCTGACCAAGTATGAGACGGAATGGCTTTTAAATGACTAAAAAATTTCAAGAAAGAAACACTATACCAGCTATTACTGGGGCTGCAGCAAGAAGAATAACAAACATCGCAGGCACGAGTAATACAGGGCATTCCCTTTTAACATATCTCTAAAAATGAAGTGATTATGGACCAATAGCAAATGCTAAAAAAATAGTTGGGGAAGAAAAGTTTTTACAAAAAGCTTAAAAAATTTAAAAAAAAAAAGCTTAAAAAAATTTTTTTTGGGAACAGCTGAAAAGTGTATGGCGAAGTGAAGAAATATTGCGAAGAAGATGTATTTTATTCACCTTCTGGAGCGGATCAGTAATTCCGCACTGCTGCAGCAGTCCAGCGAGTTCAAATAAGAGATATCCGTCTGCATCCCCTTTTTGACTTCGTAAATCGTTTAACACATTCCTGTATAAAGTTGCCATTTAGTGCAACGGTTTCTTTCAAATAAAAGGGCACTCTTTGTTTGCGACTCGAAGCAGGACTTTGAATAACCTACTTCTGGAGTGTGTCCACCGCGCTGACTATGATCGACGTGTTGCGCTTCACACCTGACTTTAATGCACTTAAGATTCGCTGTCTAAGCAGCTGATGCTGACCAATCTAGAACAACGTTTCAATTGTTGCGATCATTAACAAATTGTAGTTATCTCACTGTATAAGATACTTCAGGAATAATGAGAAAAACTAGCCTTGCTTAACGTCACTGAAAAAGGGGGAAGGATGGGAGTGAAGCGCGAGGCACAAACATCAAACGTCTTGAACCTCCCTGAAGAATGAACTTCACTAGCAGTGTTCAAATCTACCAGCGACTGCAGTAGAGTTCCTTTGACAAAGTTTGCATATAAGTCGCAGAAAGTGGTGATGTGCGTTACTAGATGAAAGCACATTATACGATCTAACGCCGTTAATACCATCGGAGAAAGTGCATCCTAAAGAGGTAAATAAAACAAAAACGCAGTTTGTGAACAAATGTTGTGGTAGAAAAGTTGAATCTTTGCACATAAAGGAAAGTATATTGAAAAATTTTCACTGCTATTAGAGGCTTTTATAACCTGCGCTACGGCAAAGGTTTCCTGCGAAAGCATTAGTTTTTTCGTTTTCAAGTCACACCATATTTGCAAGGATTTGACATAGCGAGTACTCCTAAAAATTACGGCGTACCAGATTAAATTATGCATTCTTTAAGAAGCTGTGTCTGCTCAATGCCTACTAAGCGAGGTATTTAAGTTTGCATGAAGTGGCTTGTAGCTCACTTATTTCACGATAAGCTTAGACGGTTATAGGCCTTTTTGACGAGCATGCTTTCTTCTTGGAACTATTATAAAGTCCGATTCCTCACCCTAAATTTTGCTGCAGGAACAGGTTGAAATGAGGAGATTTTAGAAAGTGCATACTGTACGTCACATCAAAGAAAAATCAGTGAAAATTTGACCAATTCGGCACTTTAACTAACAGCAAAAATATGGTGCTTCGTGGCTAATGTTGATTTATCATTTGTGACTAAAAATGTTTTCCTCAAGGCACAGGAACCCACAAAAAAAGTTAATCTTCATTGGTTCGTAAGTATTATAACTGTGCCAGTACAGTTCCAATTCTCCTCATCCCCTTATTAATGTACTACTCACTTGCAACTCAAAATAAGTTTTTTTACCAGTTCGTGAGAAATTAAACTACTAACCAAACTTATTTTCCGGAAGTACCAGTATTTTTCCAGAGAGATTAGAAAGATAAATTCCGCAAATTGGAAATTAGCGGTTATAATACTCACAAGTGTGAGGAAAATCTGAAGCATTAAAAACACACATACTGCCTCACCTAGGATCAGACGATTTCAAATAGAGGCTATATAACCGACCAAGTGGAGTAGCGAACCCAGCTATTTCTGGCATTACAGGCAGACTGACAGATTTCAACTGATAATCACTCTCCTCATCGCTTACCTATTACGGAATAGCAAGAATATTTATAGTGTCAAATGATACTCTACGTTTGAAAATTAGAGGAAAAAAATTACAGCATGTTTGAGAAAAACATTTGACTCTTTCTCCAACATATATCCAATGACACGAGTTAATTCACTGTGCCACACAAGAGTACCGCTTATCCCCATATGTTCGCACATATAAATAAAGGCACCGTGAATGCGACTGAACTGAACTTTTAAATTATTCAACAGAGCTCCAACTTCTGTTGCAGATGACACTTCTTTATAAATATAAGATGACATTCTTGAAACGAGTTCTCTAAATTTAGCCAGATCACTCAAAGGCCACATAATTAGACGAACCGAGGCAGAAAAATTAATCAAAAATTTTAACTGACCTCCTAATTCCATCCAAAAGCAATGCAGAAGGATCGATGCGGAGTGATCCTATCCATGTTAGCTGCATCGTTGAAATACTCAGCGATAAAGTTGAAATAGCATAGCTATCAGCGGCGAGACTAAACCTGCGATCGAGGTCCGCGAAATGCCTAACTTCTGTTTTCAAAACACTACTTTCATGACGACTGTCTAAAAGGACAGCGATTCTATCGAGCAGCACAAACAAAGATCGCGGCACTACCTAAAAATAAACAAAACTTCTAGTATAGTGAGGTTTGGACTGATTACAGTAATTCATACGATGTTTTTTACAGCCCTATTATTGGACAAGATATAAAATAACTGCAGTGGAAGTTGCAAATTTAGGAATTTGCGAAATTCGCGACTTATTCTTCACGAGAAATAGCAATATGGAAAAGTCAGGTTATTTTGGCGCTTATATTTCTGAAGAATCTGGCAAAATTACTAATAAAAGCAACAACTGGACATGAAGCAGAAGTTGTGATTAGCAACTGATAAGCACCTGAACAATTTTTCTTAGACGAGCCTCCAACTGCCTTGAGTAACACACAGAAATCGCAGATATTCTTGATGGATTCTCAACCGCAGTAAGAGTGCACCCAATAGATGCCGAAAGTTTTAAAAAAAGTGACCGGATCGACATCGGATCACTTTCAACAAGACGCTTCATTTTATCTGACCATCTGCAAAAACCAAAATAAAGATTATCTCCGACAAATTACAGGATTTATTTGAAAAAGCACCTCATGCTCAGTAAATATGCAAAAACTAAGTTACTTACTGATCAATAAGTACCCAGCCATAAGAGAAGTCAGAAACCGCATCTAAGCGACTCAAAAATTCTTCACTTAAAGTGCAGCAGTGTAATAACTCGGAAAGAAGAATTGATATACTTCGTAAATACTGATCCACAGAGACATTACCAGATAAGTCATGAATGTCGCTTACCTAAGAAATATTTATTAGACGTTAGATAACCTAAAAGAACAAAGATAGACTTGAAAACTTCCGTATTTATCTGAAAGTACCTGTTCAATTCTCTTTTTCAAATGTTCAATAAGAGATGGAGTTTCAACATTGGATACGTCTAATTCTGATAACGTTTTTTCCACCAATAACAGCCACTGTTGAAGTTTAACTGGAAAAAATCAATACAGTAGAGGTAAAGCACTTTAGAATAAATGTTTTTTAAAAAATCTGTCGTCTAATTAAGGTACGGCACCCAGCCACAAAGTTGGAAAAATCTGCCCAAAACTCTCATTTGCAGTAGATGTAGACTACGGTATATGGATAAAAAATTTTGATTTCTGGTACTAAAAAAATTGGCTATTACTTTCACATCAATTAAATACAAAAGCCCCTTCTTTATCAAATAGCATACTTCTTCGTGGTACCAAAAAACAATCCGTCATGAGCTTTTAAAATACTTTTCATTCCCTATGATAAAAACCAATGTTCAAAAGCCTAAATTTTATTACAATGCCAAACA